CATTTAATTATACCGAAGTATGATGACAATAAAGAGATTCTGATTCAAAAGTAAAGTAGTCATTATACAGGGGGCGGAGGAGAGCCCTCTTTTAGATGGTGACATATAAAAGCATTTTTATATAGGCTACTTTGGTTTATTATTATGTATTTAAGGCAACACTTTTCATGACTTAAAAACATGAAGCATGTTTTTTTAAATAATTTCTTTATTATAATTTCAGCTTTACTTTATAGTCATTTTATGTCAACACAGGGTCAGTTGAACAACAAAATGTTTTGGATGAAATGAAGTGTACTTGACTAAAGTATTTGAGTGCACTTACAGTAGTGACAATCAACCATTGAATACAGCATGTCTTTGTTTCATGTCTTCTCTAATTTTACAGGGTCAACTAGGTAGAGCAAGAAGAGACAACAGGTAAGTTGTAACATTGAAGAAGAGATGGCTGGAAGCTATTCCAGCCTCCAAAGGGAGGAGCAAAGGAACTGGACCGAGACAGAGGGGAACTCAGTCCTCTTTTGTCACAGCAGTATTTTTACCAGTCACTATTACAAATATCTTTAAAAAAGAAAATAAGAGACATATATTCAGAAGAGTATCTAAAGAATACACACTATACATCTACAGAAGAAATTAGAATACTCTCTTATAAACCAATATACTACTGAAACACTTAAAGATAGGGTACTTTAATTAAAGTCAAAGAACTATCCAATTCTTCAATACAGGTAAAGGATACAACTATGAAAAACGCACTCTGGTTAAAGTGGTATAAATATGCCACATGTAACGACAGGAGAATGTTGACCTAATATTGTTTTTGGGCTCATAAGCCAGATAAAAGGTTTGGGAACCACTGCATATAAATAATACTTGTAATACAATCACAAATACACTCTATCTATCTAATCTATCTATATGGGCGACATAAACACAATATTCTGCATGGCATATTCTTTAAATAATAAATGTTATGTGAATCTTGCAAATTCCTTGCACAATTTAGCCCCTACTTTAGCTTCTACTTTATATCATGGTTTATTGTCCTTTCTTTCATTCCAAATGTGTTATCTTGAGTATATTTTATAATATATAATATATATTTGTATATGTTATTTTGTATTTATTTTATTTTGTCAATGCTTGCTTTCATCTAATTGTTCTATTACATTGATGATTTTATGCACCAACATCCCCAAGCGTCTATATGTGAAAATATACTTGGCAATAAACCAGGGGAATTCAGTCTTTAGTGAAACTACTCAGGTGAAAATGTAGACATAGATTTGAAAGATAGACAATGTTTAATCTCATGTAGTAAATTAATATGCACGGAAACACTATATGGAATCCAGTATAACACCACAGTTTCTAGTGAGCAGCATTATCAACTGTTTCTTCAGAGTTGCCTTTATCTGCCAGATTTAAGAGTCGTGACTGTGTGGGTTCAGGAAAAGAAGGACTCTGACTGACTGTGATCAATGCCAAGATTGAAAGTCTCCCACAGCTACATGCATAGAATAAGATGAGGATTTAAGGTAACGCAATCTACATACCAATGTCAGCACATAATATGTAAATACAATCTTAGCAAGGGACAGTTCATGTAAATAAATCCCATTTACAACACATAGCCAGTTTCACATCTCCTGCAGCCTGCTGCAGGAGATGTGCTGCTCCCTTTTTTTCACACTTGCAAACAAAGTGTTCCCTTTTGATTTCCAGGCTACCATCTGCATTTGTTTAACACCCAAAGTGTTTATCTCATGCATATTACAGCCTCCAGGGTGGGTATGATTAAAACGTTTGCATGAAACTTTAGGGGCTGCAGGATATTTTTCACCCACCTCTGGCTCCCTCTTTGTCTCTCCCTGTTTGAATTGCCAATTTCTAAGTTTTGTCTGTTGGTTTTTACACATATGCTGGTTTTGCATCCGTAACATAACTGTTGTTGATGAGTCAACTCTGTAGGTTATGGAATTTTGAGATGTAAATAAACTTTTTATAATAATCAGGTGTGTTTATTTCTGCTCTGTGCTTGGTAAGTGACATGTGTATATTTCATTAATATTTGAGCTTATTAATGAAAGTACAAAAATGTGCACTGCATCCTGCTTCTTACTTAAGTGTTGAGGTTTCTTGTACAGAAATGTATAAACAAATTCAATTTTCAAAAGCAAAACCTTTAAAAAGAGCCATTTTGCCCCCTTTGCCACCAAAACAAATTCTATAACACAGCTTATTCAGTTGTACACATAGTTATACTATATAAACAAAAAATAGTTAGTTGTTTGTTTTCTAAGGCCGCTGGTCTAAAATGTAGGATGAGCCACCTCCAGGGAAAAGGTGCCAGGAAAGAAAGTTGTGACACAACTGTTAGTAATATTATTTTCACATTTTCCCTGAAACTCCAAGATAAAAGGCAATCCTTTCAAACAAATGTCAACTGTTATTTAGTGGCATGTTATATTTTGTCAAAGCTAGGGAGTCACTATAGAGGGGCTCTAGAGCCGCGGGTTGCCTATCCCTGCTCTTTTCAGGTATTTTTTGTGGTAAAGCAAAAACACTGGAGAAAATTGTGGGAGTACAAAGTAAAAGAACATTCATGTGAAAACAGAGCTCCCAGGCAAACACTTTTACACGTAGTTTGTTATTTTCTGTACACAGACAATGTTTTGTTGTTCTTGTTGGGTGGATGGGGCCTCTCTCTGGGGCCCCTGGGGATATTCAATTCGCAACAATAATGGAAAGGCTTGTCACTTTGTACTTCGATATTTTTTTGAATCACAGTGAAAATGATGTATGTATATCTTTTGTTAATTCAGCTTTTGAGTCACAGTCTTGCATCACACACTCAACCTTTCCAAATGATGGAAGGGAGTGTCCTCTGTCTTGGATACAAACTAAAAAGAGGAACAAACTGTCCATGTTAAAGTTACCCACTTTTTAAGTATACATAAAATATATTAGGGGGTTACATTCATTTTCCATGTGCAGAATAAAGATTCCACATTTACTATAGATTGAATTCGCATAATGAGGAAAACAACAGCATTATCACCAAATGATAACATGACCTAGCTAACGTTAGCTTATAGATATCTTACATTACAAATAATGTTTTGTAACGCAAAAACACCGAGGCCACTACGTTGCTACAGTCAGAAAAGGCATATTTAAGGCAAATATCTACATAATAAGCGTCTACATAAGTGAGACAAGCATTCGAATAAATAAGCTAACTTTAGCTAGCCGTTTTAAAATCCTTCTGTTGACACGAATACAACTGAAAAAAAGAAAAAAGAAGTTACGCCGGAAACATTTAAAGTTGTTTCAAATAAGTTAGTTGACTGGGAGAAATTGAAGTTTTAACAGAGTGACAAGAGTAATGTGGTAGATACATAAATGAAAGCAGGGGATGTGATATAACCATAGACTGTATAGTCTATCTATGGTTATACATCCCCTGCAGCCCTGCTTTACGAAAAAGGAGGGGGCGACGATTCCCGTGAAACACCGGTTTCGTCAGAAGAACATCCGGGTCACTCATCAAAAAATCTGATGCAAGCTTCAACACTACCCTGTAACAAGAGGAGCTACACCCTGTTAGCAAACTGTGACATTTTTCATTTCAGCAGAAGACGTTATATAATTAATTGAATTAAGTAAAACTTTTTGTAAAACATTTAAATACTCTTATTTAAGTAAAATACATTAAAGGTCTCACTTAATAACAACAAAGTATGAGCATTAAGTTCCACATTGTGAAAGTAAGCAACTTATTATGCAGACAGCCCATTGCAGAATATATGGGACACATAATGGCACTTTTTAATAATTATAAGCATTGCTTTAATGTTGCATCTTGAAAAGGTGGGGCTTATTTGAACTACTTTAAATACAGCCCGGTAGCTTAAGTTATTAGTTATAATTTATTAGTTGACTTATATTTAGTCTGAATGATATGAATCTTTAGAGTAACTGAAGTTATACAAGTATGAGTTATTATAAAATAGAAATAGTCAAGTAAAGTACCTCAAAAGTGTACTTTTGTGATAAGTACAGGGTGGTGAAAAAACTTGTACTTGAGTCAATTAACTTTATACAATGTTATACTATACTTTTATAAGTACATGGACTTCCTTTTAGAAACGAATGCACTTATAAAATACAATGCATTGTTACAGTAACTTGAACCACACAGCGTACAAATAAATAAATAAAAAACTTTACCGAAGCCATTAAAAAGCATCTTAAATATAATATAATGTAATAGTATTATATCTAATAATTTAACAAGCGCAAAGCATCTATGGCTGCACGGTATGTACCTTTATACTTATAGAGTAATGTAAACTTACTTGATAAAATGTTTCCTAAAGTATAATTTTGAATGGAGTTTTACTTGTAACAGAGTTATTTTATAATCATTGTATTGCTACTTTCCCTCTTTATATAACATTCAGGTTTAAAACTGCTTCTTTTATTAAAAACGGTTTATTTTACTGTCACAAAGTTTATTTCCATTTTGACTGCTCAAATATCACTTTAATTTAGTTTCTTCTGCCATCTAGTGGCTGAAGAGAGGAATTGAAGTCATTCACTGTATGTCCAAAACCCTTGGAAGAAGGTATTCATTGCATATTGTATTATGTAAATAATAAATGTATGTTTTATGGTATTAAAAGTCCAAAGGTGGGTCATGAAACCATTCCCACAGCTCAAACACAATATGTGTGATGTACATCTCTGTACATCCTCTTCAGACAAATAAACGTTGTGACACAAAAACAAAAAGCTTTCCTTGTTGGGTGTTTTTCATCCTAAAATAAGTATTATGTGTGTTTGTGAGGGTTTGTAATCTTGTTGTGTAATGTTATCCTTCATATGTATATGTCTGTTTAATTTAGCTTATTTGTATCTATTCATGTATTATATTTACACAAAATTATACTAATATATATATTTTCTAAAAGATAAAAAGACAGACACCTCACTCAGATTTCACAGAGTTTAGTTTTGCTCTGTAAACAAACTTGATCATTTACCCAATAAAATATTGAGTAAACATATTTAACATATTTGTACATCTCACACATTTTCAACACACAGAGAAGGTAAATACATTATTGCATCTGTTTAAAAACATCATATTTTTACAATCAGAGTGCACTTTTAACAAATGGCATGAGTGAAAGAAAGGATGACAGATTAAAAACACTGCAAATCCACATATTCTTCTATGAAACATAATTCTGTCGGCAAGTCAAAGTTCTTGGCACTTTCTGGAATCTGAATTGGATTATAAAAAACCTCTAGAAAGATCAAGTAAAAGGCTTTTGGTGTATTATTCTGTGTGGAAAGTGATTCTTTTGTTCCGTTTGACCGTCTGAAGGGTTAGAAAACAGACACAGCTGTGAACAAAGCAGCTGAAGGTACAGGGTTTAAAATCATCCTTTTTCGTCATGTCTGGTTGCTTCATAAAACAAATGGTCCCATTTCATTTACAGCTAAAGAAATCTTATAAAATCCCACAGCAAGATCACCCACATTTGTTTTGGTCTCATATGAGGTGCTGTACAGTTCATGTAATATAAATGCTCATGTGAGTTTTTCCAACAGTATACAGGACAAGTGAAAAAGTATCCCTGATTCCTAATGTATTAGTAAAGGCAGTGAATATCCAGCAAATCATACTTAAAAAATGTGCGTAAAATTAGATTTTGATGTATAAAACTGCTTTACAATAATTATAGTCTTTGCTGGGTTTATAGTACAAATGAGTTCAAATGCTCACCTGAGAATACATGTTCTAAAATAGTATTGATAAAAGTTCTCCATGAAACTATCCTGGACAACCATTAAATGTTGTCAGTAAACGTTCCATTCTTCATAGTTGTGAATTGAGTACTGCATATATTCCTATAATTTATATAATTTATACATTGAGAGAGTAGAACTCTATATCTGTTTTTCTGGGTTGAAATGTACCCATCAGTCTTTCAAAGCTGTACCGCGTGTGCCCCTTTTGTTTGTGTTGTTGTTTGTATTGGTCTGAGTGTTTATGTTTTATGTAGAGATAGACCTGCTCCTTTCTTTCTCGGTCTCTGCTCTCTCGTCCTCGGTATTGGCCCACGGCTGGATCTTCCCGCTGGCAAATATGGTGTAGACGAGAGCCCCCCCCACGTTGATCCCCGCTGCCACCCAGAACACCTTCATCCAGCCCGCCATGGTGTGCTGACAACCACAGAAGAAGAGATGCAACACCAGATGTATTCCAATACCACTACTAATTACCTGTGGTCAGTAACATATTCCAACTATTACAATAGTACTATAACCTGATTATAACATTGCGATTACCTTAAAACCACAAATAAAATAAATATAAGAGTAATGTTATTTCACAGAAGAAATCAGAAAAGATTTAACAGTACAGTAGAAAACAGTACAGTGCCTTCTAGTTGCGAAAATGCTGTAATCACTTAAGGATTTAAAAAATAAATGTATATATACAAACTATAACACTATAACTGAAAATAATGAACTTTAATATCTGTATTTTTTTATTTAGAATTGTGATAAAAAAAGAAAAAAATATAAAAGTATAATATATTAGTTAAAGGGGGCATTTTCTGCATTGAGTACTTCAACTTTGAAACTTTGAATGCCTACATATTTGAAAAACATTTTATATATATATATATATATATATTTATAATTAGTAAAAGATTTTAACCGTTCAAATATTAGCACAGTTCAAAGTTGATTAGTTTAGGTATAAAGAGCCTATATTGAATATAGCGTTTTTCTTAAAAATATGATTAAATGTGACATTTCTCTTCATGTCTCTCGTTCCCACTCAATATATAAATATATATACATTTACAATATTATATATGGTAACTTAAGTAACTTTATGACTATTTATTTTAAGACTTACACCCTCAGTGAAGTATCCTGTAACAATAGGGGCCAGGACTCCAGGAATGGTCCCGAAAGTGTTGCTGATTCCCAGAAGGAATCCTGCATACCTGCGAAGACAGTGAAAGAGCAAGTCGTTATCAGCCTGAAATGTTATATTTTCCATACGGCCAGATTATATTTATTACATTTAAATTAGTTTATCACACATACAGTATGTACGTTTATGAGTAAGCTGGAACGAAACAGGAATATTTAACAGAGACTTACTTGGCAACCGTTCTGATAATTCATTCTTCAAGTACAAACCAGTAATATAAAAGATTCCAAATAAACAAAGTCTCTTTAAGTAATATGTATACAAGGAGGGAACTTGGATTTTAGCCTTTGAAGAAGAAAACCTATAACACACTTCAGGAAAGGGAAACCCCAAAACGCATATGAGGGCCCCTTAAAACTGAGGTGTAAATGGCTGAATTAGTGAGAAGTGAAGGTGTAGGGCAGTAACACCCACCGTGGAGCGATGTCTATCTGGTTGATGTAGACCCCGGGGGCGGTGATGCCTCCAAGGGTGGTGGAGAGCGTGAGGAAGGTGACGGCGAGGATATGGTTGCAGCCGGCGAAACTCACAGCCACGAGGAAAGCTGCCGGGAGCATCAGACCTGCACCAGGAGGGAGTCAGGAGAGGAAGGAAACCCAGTACAGGCTCAGAAAACATCACTGGGGTTACTGGTTCTGTCTTTTTAATATTTGGATTTGACCAGAGGTGGAATGGAGCTAAAGTCCTCTGCTTAATTTAAAGTTTGTAGGTACTTTTATCTAATCAATCTTAAAGCTTTAGTTTCTTAACTGTGCATACATACATTCATATGTGAACTACACATGAGCGATCTGAGAGGAAAAGTGTCTTTTACCTATTAGTGTGAAGAGCTTGCGTACGACGGTGATGCTGAACACCTCCCTCTCGATGAGGCTGTCTGCCACCACGCCCGACAGCATCGACATCAGCCAGGCCCCGAGGTACGGCAGAGCGGACAGGAAACCATTCTGGAGACAGACAGAGACATTACATCAGAGTGTTCAGCGGAGGATTTGATAGTAAAGCAAGCATGTTTGTCTTTGTCAAGTATCAAGAGATGTGCATGTAAGTGTTCAGAAACAGAGACAAAAAGGTGAGGACACCTGGGAAATGATTAAAGAAAGAGCTTCAAGAACACAATTATTGTCTTTCTTGCTGAGAGTTAGATAAGAAGATTGATAGTACCCTCTCCGCCAGCAGCTTGGTCGCTTAGCTTAGCATTAAGACTGTAAACAGGGGAAAACAGCCAGCACCAGGACGGAGCTGCCATCCATGGAGGACCTCTACAACCAGCGGCTCAGGAAGAAAGATTATCAAAGATCACCCCAGCCACAAACTGTTGTGTCTGCTGCCGTCTGGCAGGCGGTGCCGCAGCATCAGGACTAAAACCACCAGACTCAGGGACAGTTTCATTCCACAGGCCATAAGACTATTAAACACCTGAACTTGCACTGTTTTTATGTTGTTATTTAAATATTTGAGTAAGTTGCACTATTGAGGAACCTGTGATCTCAGTTCTTCATACATTACATAATTACACCGTAGTTGTGTATATGTTATGAAAATAAACCTTTGAATCTTGATCTCTGACTAAAGTTATACAAAATCTGCACTTATTTGGAAAAAAATAAGTTTCAACCAAACACTTTATTATATATGATAAATGTTTTCTTTTTTTAAACATGAATAATGATAAATATAAAAAAACATAATGACTTATTTTTAAGATATATATATTGTATTTCAACCACATATTTCCATCAATATATAAAAACTTCTTTCCATATTTATATTATTATTATTTTATTTAAATTCCTACATATATATATATATATATATATATATATATATACCGTTTTTTATTGTACTCATGTACCTGTACCTACCCTGAACTCTACCCCCATAATACATGTGACTTATCGGGCTATAAGCATTTCTAAAGCCCAATAATTGATATGTTTAAAGTGGAGATTGTAATTACTTACTTACTCAAGCTCAGTTATAAACTGGGCTGAGTGCTAGAAAACATCTAGCATTGATTAAAATCCGAAGAGAAGCATCATTTGTACTTTTGGAATGGGCAAGCTGTGTTTCATTTTAGTAAAACACACAACATTTTCAGTAAAGAAGGGTGAAGTGTCCCTGACACATATGGACAGAAGATTAAAAATGATATTAACGATAAAGCGCTATTTAAAGGAAATGTTTTATCGTTTTTTTAATATGAAATGGAAGAATGGGATAGTGGTGGTCTAATGGATAGTGAGGTGGGCTGAAGATCGGAAGGTTGTGAGTTCAAATCCCGGCAGGAACACCACCACCAGTGTGCCCTTGAGCAAGGCACTTAGCCCTTAGTTACTCCAGGGAGAATGTCCCTGTAATTGGTAATTGTAAGTCGCTTTGGATAAAAGCGTCAGCTAAATGAAATGTAATGTAACAATTAATGTAAAGCTCACCGATTTGAGGTCAAAGTGCATGACGTTGTCCATGTAGGTGGGCAGGGAGGTGAGCAGGGTGTAGTAGGACCAGTTGGAACACATCTGGGTGATGATGATGGCCCACAGAGGGACCGACATGGACATGGACAGCAGGGGCACGGACCAGCCATGACCTGTACCCTGCACACACATCACACATCCTCAGACAACACTTCAGACAGTGAATAATGTCCACAACAAACCCTTAGTTATCATTGATATCATGATCAGTGGTGGGTAGAGAAAACAAAAAAACTGTACTCAAGTAAAAGTATTGTTGCTTTATCATTATATTGATCAAGGTAGAAGTATCTTATCTCCTGCTGTCGAACAACTGCTGTGGGATCAGCTAAATATAAAAGCTGTTTCTAGCTATATGTATGAATGAAAGTCTTAGTCTACACACATTTAAAAGGTTAAGGCCAATGTAAAAGAGTAAATGCACATGCTTTTTTATGTTAATGTGTTCAAGTGTGTGGGTTTTAACTGTGAACAATAAAAACATGAATTAACAGATTTAAAGAGAAGGGACATTTACAGGCATATTACATAAATGTGTCCATATGGAAGATTTCATTAAGTAAAAAAAGAGAAGAAATATTCTGTCACTTGTTCTCATTTGAAGGTATTTTAACTTGTTGGGATTAGGAAATCTAAACGACAGAATGACAGCTGAGGGGAAGAGGAAGTATGGAGAAGAGGAAGTTTCATAAGGAACCTAACAACATTTCACTGCAAGCTGAACAAGTCTGAAAATGGGGTAAAAGCGTTCGGGACAAGGTATTGTCATAAACCTAAAGTAAATGAAATTGATATTATTTAAGGAAATCTAAAACGGTTTAGAAACAATGTAACATTTCATAAATACAATTAATTTCATTTGAGTTTTTCTTAAGTTATTTATCAAAAAGTAAAGGTGACAGCTTGGATTTATGTCACCTTTTGTGGCATTTAACCACAGGATTTGGTGATGATGATATGCTGCAAATGCTTCACATGACTAATTCTTATAGTGGATCAAAAGCTTGGGTCTGATGTTAACCAACTTGAGTAGGTTTCTTCTAACTGTGGTAGTTAAAGAGGACCTAAATGAATCAATTCATCCAAAACAGCTGGACTGAAATGTTGTTAGAAAACTGCACGTCATTTTCTTCTTCCATAGTGGCAATACTGGGACACTACCAGTGGACTCATAAGGCGCGTTCACACCGCAGTACTTTTCCCACTTTAGTTTCGATATAGTTCTGAAATGTCGCGTTCACACCAAAAAGAGCCGGAACTAAAATTAGTTCATGAGAACCTTTTTACCCCCTTTTCCATCAGTTTTCCGTCCCCGAAAGAGCAGGTACTTTCGTGGGAGAAAAAGGTTCCTATGTCTGATTGGGCGGGGCGGAATGCAAACCACGCCCCGTAAAACTCCCAAAAAGTTTTGTTATCCTCGCATTAGCATTATTAGCATTAGCATTAGCCCAGCGCAGAAACGCAGAGAGACTAACTTATGGCAACACAAAAGAAAACATGGGAGCGGTGGAGATGAGGAGGTGTCGGCGTTCTGGCGATTTACTCTTCAGTAGAAGCTGCTGGGAGTCCCAGCAGCTTCTACTGAAGCCAGTCCCCAACTCCGGGGACTTCCGGCCGGGGACTTCGGGTGGCAGTATACGCCGTGAAGTTGTTTGCGGCCTGCCAGTAAACCCAAAGCAGAAGAAGAAGAAGTGACGTCAGCGGCTTCATTTGCCTAATCCTCCCCCAGGGACTTATTCCGGTGTGAACGCAATCTGTACTTAGTTAGTGAGAACTAAAGAGTTCTGATGAACTAAGTTCTGATGAACCTTTGTGGGAAAAGTACTGCGGTGTGAACGCGCCTATAGTAATATTTGTTGCATTTAAATCCCCAGAGGAGCTACCATAAAGCAGAGCACGTCATTGTTCACCATGCTCTCATTTAACATATTATAAACAAATACATATTTTGTCATTTCTAATCTCTACGGCTTTCTTTCTACCAAAATTGTAGGGCAATATTGAGAAAAGTTAGCTGTAAATAAAACATTATTTCATGCGTACCTGAGATCCAATGGATTTTATGATGTAATCTCTCTCCTCCTTGCTGATTCGACGGTGGGTGCGAGGGTCATCAGATACGAAGATAAACCAGACGACTGCCCAGAGGCAACCAGCACCACCTGAGGGAAAGAGAAAGAAGGTGTTACTGGATATAGTAATGAATAAATAAAGCAGGGTTGACAGTGAAGGCCTGATGTCATAACAAAATCAAACTGCTCTAAAGGTATTGTTGAAGAAGCTGTGAAATAGAGACGAACAACTTCTAAGTTTGACAAAACAATGTGTACTGGTTTCCAGCTAAAACAAAAAAATAACAACTATTGGAAAATGATATAATTAAAGGGGCTTTATTATGCTTTTTGGGTTTTCCCTTTCTGCAAAGGCTTAAATCCCCGTGTCTCCTCCAGAGGGAGTTTCTCTCCCACACACTCCCCCCCCCCCCGGCCTGAATTGGACTCCTTTGTTTACTTCCGTAAGATAATTACATCACTGTAACACTCACGCTTCTATTGGCTAGCGCTCTGACACATTGTACATGACAGGCTAAGGGGTGGGACATCTCTAAGTTGTTGACCAATCTCAACAGAGCTGGACAGCTAACCAATCAGAGCAGACTGGGCTCTGGTTTCAGACAGAGTGTTATGTTTATGCATGGGTTTTGTTGTTGTTGTGTTATTTCCTGTTTTGCTCCTTTTACCCCTCACTACTCTGTCTCTCCTTCTCTGCAGGGCTGGTGTGTGACAGGGGGCGTGGCTGGTATTCTCCTGGCTGCAGAAGAGGCACACCTGTTCCCACTCAGATAATCACCTGCTCTTTAAGAGCCTGGCCCTCACCTCACTTCTCTGCCAGAGAATTAAATGCTGTTCAACGATCCAGAGTGCCTTTCTGCAGCCTTGAGTTTTGTTTTGTTTCTTTGCAGTTTTTGAGCTACTTTTCGAGTATAGCCTGGGACGTTTCCCTCCGCTTTGTTTTTGGACCTTTCTGCAGCCAGCCAGCTCCCCGTTTTCAGTACCTGCCTTGGCCTATTATTTATTAAACACCTTGAGCTTAACTTGTGTCTGTCTCTGCTTTGGGGTCCAAGAATCCATACGTCACACAGAGGGTGAAAAGAGGTGCTGCAGCACAGGCAGGATGATACAAATACCTTTTTGAACATTAAAGCATGGAATCATGTTACAGTCCAACTGTTACCGTGTTTGAATGAAGGTAAAACGTCACTTCTCATCATTTGATTGCTAGTGTTTAACCAGACAACAGGGAGTTGTGCCTTTAGAGTACGCCACACCTTAGCATTCTAAGAATATGTAACTGATTACAGCGTTTTTGCATTAACCGTTTTGTTCAGCATCTACCACCATGGCATCTTTCCTGTGAGAGACTAATGTATGTGTTGATGAATGTTTCAAGTATGTGATTGTGTTTGGTTTCCGTCCTCACCACAGAGGTAGAAGACAGCGGGCCAGCCTAAGCTTTGGGAGATGAGGCCGGTGAGAGGCAGAGCAATAAAGGCCCCAAAGTTTCCCCCAGACCCCGACAGGGTCATCAGGCGAGAGCGCTCCGGAGGGGGGGCCCAGCGAGCCCACATCGCCATCATGGCTGGGAACGTCACTCCCTGAGGGGACAGAAGAGAGGGGAGAGGGCAGAGAGGGAGACAGCAGAGAGGGAGAGAGCAGAGAGGGAGAGACCAGAGAGGGAGAGACCAGAGAGGGAGAGACCAGAGAGGGAGAGAGCAGAGAGGGAGACAGCAGAGAGGGAGACAGCAGAGAAGGAGACAGCAGAGAGGGAGACAGCAGAGAGGGAGACAGCAGAGAGGGAGACAGGAGAGAGGGAGACAGGAGAGAGGGAGACAGGAGAGAGGGAGACAGCAGAGAGGGAGACAGGAGAGAAGGAGACAGGAGAGAGGGAGACATCAGAGAGGGAGACAGGAGAGAAGGAGACAGCAGAGAGGGAGACAGCAGAGAGGGAGAGAGCAGAGAGGGAGAGAGCAGAGAGGGAGACAGCAGAGAGGGAGACAGGAGAGAGGGAGACAGCAGAGAGGGAGACAGGAGAGAAGGAGACAGGAGAGAGGGAGACATCAGAGAGGGAGACAGGAGAGAGGGAGACAGCAGAGAGGGAGACAGGAGAGAGGGAGACAGGAGAGAGGGAGACAGCAGAGAGGGAGACAGGAGAGAAGGAGACAGCAGAGAGGGAGACAGCAGAGAGGGAGACAGGAGAGAGGGAGACAGGAGAGAGGGAGACAGGAGAGAGGGAGAGAGCAGAGAGGGAGAGAGCAGAGAGGGAGAGAGCAGAGAGGGAGACAGGAGAGAGGGAGACAGGAGAGAGGGAGACAGGAGAGAGGGAGACAGCAGAGAGGGAGACAGGAGAGAAGGAGACAGCAGAGAGGGAGACAGGAGAGAGGGAGACAGGAGAGAGGGAGACAGGAGAGAGGGAGAGAGCAGAGAGGGAGAGAGCAGAGAGGGAGAGAGCAGAGAGGGAGACAGGAGAGAGGGAGACAGCAGAGAGGGAGAGAGCAGAGAGGGAGAGAGCAGAGAGGGAGAGAGCAGAGAGGGAGACAGGAGAGAGGGAGACAGGAGAGAGGGAGACAGGAGAGAAGGAGACAGCAGAGAGGGAGACAGCAGAGAGGGAGACAGGAGAGAGGGAGACAGCAGAGAGGAGACAGGAGAGAGGAGACAGGAGAGAGGGAGACAGGAGAGAAGGAGACAGCAGAGAGGGAGAGAGCAGAGAGGGAGACAGGAGAGAGGGAGACAGGAGAGAGGGAGACAGCAGAGAGGGAGACAGGAGAGAGGGAGACAGGAGAGAGGGAGACAGCAGAGAGGGAGACAGCAGAGAGGGAGACAGGAGAGAGGGAGACAGGAGAGAGGGAGAGAGCAGAGAGGGAGACAGCACAGAGGGAGACAGCAGAGAGGGAGACGGATTAGAAAATATTTGTGTTCATATCAAATGTGGACGATTAGCAATAAAAGGTTACAGATGTCTCCTGCGCAAAAATACTTCACTTTGTTTATTTGACCAGCTGATCAGGATGATTTGACGCAATGTAATGGTTCTTTGCTAGCTCCGGTCCCCTGCACGTCTTGGGTGATCCCAAATATTAAAAGACTGTTGGTTCACACGAGTGACTGTGTAAATGAATTCGGGATTATGTTCAAATAACTTGACATAATGGGCAATAAAAGCAATTTTTAAAACCTTCCAGGTTCTTTATTTTATTTTTTACAAATTCTGTAATCAAGAAAATAATCAGCAGATTAATAAATAAATAAAATGTGTTAGTTGCAGCTCTGGTGTACAATCAACTTAAACTTAAAAGGGACAAATTATTTCCTCTCAATCACAAACTGTTCACACAACTATTGAAATAATATGTACTGTTTACAAGGATTACAATAAGAAAAGGCTTTTAAAGAATTAGCTTTACTATTACAATTCAATTACATTTATGTAAAGGTAATTGAATATACTGTGTGGTTAAACTGGTGTGGTGTAGCCTTAATCATAGACAATTCCTCTAAAAGACAATGTTTGCGTGAGAAAAACGACCTGCCTGATTGAAAACATACTTTGAAGAAGGGTGTAGCATGGGCCAAGTAAGAACCCATTACATTTTGGAGAAGACCCTGATTATAAATTAGAAGTACACAGACAGAAACGTTACACACTTCTTATGCTACAGCCTCCTGTGCTCAGCTCATCACTCTCACCTCCCCGAAGCCCTCCAGCGCTCGTAGTGCAAACAGCCAGTGGGACCCCATCTGAGCAGCCAGAGGGGTGAGCAGCGTGAGGAAGGCAGTGACCAGCACCCCGACACCCAGGAAGATACTCCCCCCATAGTGACCCGACAGGTAGCCCCCCGGGATCTGTGTGCACAGGTATCCGAAGAAGAAGGCCCCCAGCAGCCAGCCCTGAGTCTCCGAGTCCCAGGGGTACTGGGGGATCTGGGAGAGGAGGAAGGGAGGGTTTATGGGGGAGGCATTAGACTCTGTTGACAGGCCACATACTCTCATTTCATATGATGTTTACCCTCCAGGCAAAGGTGGTCCACTTCCAAGTGTGTGATAGAAGTTGTATACAATATATATTTGTTTTAAATGTGTAAGTTATTGTCTTTTTTACATTTAAAGCTTCCATTGAGGTTTTTGGGATATTGGATGTAGTCATCAGCGGAAAACAAAAAAATGAAAATGTGTTAAATAAAAAAGCTTCAGTTTGAATGAAAAGATTAATTGGATGAAATTAGTACTTTTTATTAATTCAACTTTATTAAATGAATCTTTTTAACAGGACAAACACAAACACATTTGTTTCGAAGCAAGGTCTTAATATTTGACAAGAGTAAAACATTTTGGGAATTTTGGTAATCATTACATAAAACTTTTTCAAAACAGGTTGACTTTTGGATGCTTTGTATTGTTTTGAGTAAAAAAACAATCCTACAAGCCGCCACCACACAATATTAGCCTGCAACTTTGCAAAAATATGAAATTAAACACAATGAAAAGGTGTGAAAAAATGGTAATCAGGAAAATGTATATTTAATTCATTTTGAAGTCATTAGCTTCCTCTCTAGTTACTCTTTTGACCGACTGAAAAGTACATTATTCAGTCAGATTTGCAGAGAGGTTATGACTTTCCTTACTTCATTCAAACAAAACATACACTCTGACTAACTAACTGATAACATGTTATCTTGTTTACCAATGTTTTGTTCCACACTACTCATGTATTGTTATTGTTGGTCACATGATAATGAGTGGAAGTGGAGATGTATTCATGTATTTATATCATGTATATAATGTAGTAAATACACTGCCGTCCAAAAATAAAGTCACCAACTGATTTAACTAAGCCAATCTATAAGAGCCTTCAATTTGATAATTACTGCAGTGATGAAAATGTTTCAGCCCGCAACAAGTTATTTAACCCCAGCTGTTGCGGTCTCATTTCTTAAACCACCATGTCAGAAGAAGACATATCCTGTGGTCGTGGAGAGGATGTTAATCAGTTTCAGAAGGGTCAGATTATTGGCCTGCATCAACCAAAGAACACAACTAATATAAGGAGATTGTTGAAACTAATAAATCACTAAATCAATGAATCCAGATTTACCCTCTTCCAGAGTGATGGGCGCATCAGGGTAAGAAGAGAGGAGGATGAAGTGATGTACCCATCATGCCTAGGGCCTACCGTACAGGCCTGTTGGGGCAGTCTTAGGATCTTGGGTTGCTGCAGTTGGTCAGGTTCAGCTGATTACCTGAATATATTGAATGACCAGGTCTTTCCATCAATTGAGTTTTTCTTCCCTGATGGCACGGCCATATTCCAAAATGACAATGCCAGGATTCCTTGGGCTCACATTGTGAATGAGTGGTTCAGGGAGCATGAGACATCCTTTACAAATGGATTGGCCCCACAGAGTCCAGACCTCAGCCCCATTGAGAATCTTTGGGATGTGCTGAAGAAGACTCTGTGCAGCGGTGCGACTCTCCCATCATCAATACAAGATCTCGGCAGAAAGTTAATGCAACTCTGGACAGAAATACATTTTGTGACATTGCAGCAGCTTGTCGAAATGATGCCACGGCGACTGCATCCCGTAATCAAAGCTAAAGGCGGCCCAAAGAAATATTAGAGTGTGTAACTTTTCTTTTGGACGGGCAGTGTATAATGTGTACTGTATATACAATGTATGGGATTGACTGTTACCCCAGGTTGATGCAAAGAGTCGCTGCTGTTGTCCCCTCCGGGTGGCAGTGGACAGGCAGAGACCACCGAGCTGTTCAGAGCTGGTTCGGGGTCAGTGGTATTCACCATGGCTACCATGGCAACACTGAGGTTGACACGGAGCCCGTAGACCACGGAGAACCCGCAGAACATCAGGAAGGCCAGGTTGAGGCGCGCCGAGCAGCACTGAGGAGGAACTGAGCACACAGAACATACAACACAAAGATGTTTACATGAAGGGAGGACTGTGAGAACAGAGTCACTGTGAAAACCATTTTAAATGATTCAGATCCATTTTGACTTTCGCTTCTTTTATCTATTGAGAAGGTTATCTTACTTTTTTTAAAGAACTATATCTTCTTAAGCTAAAATATAACAAATCAGAAAACAAGCTCCGGTATTACAAGATGGTATTATGCTGTTTTTTAAGATAATGACACTCACCTATATATAATATTTAAAATAACTAACATTTTAACAGCATTTGATGTTAAATTGATATCTAGTTAATCGTGTATTCAATTCCAATCCAAATATTGGCATTACATTTGACGTGTGTAGACACACTTACTTTTAGGAAAGACAATCAATGAAGGAAAATTGAATTTAATGACAATTTAGGTTAAAAGAAAAACTAAGGCTAAGTAAATAATAATATAATTATACTGTATACATAAAATAAGTAAACAAATGAGTGATATAATGCAAGAAATAAAAGTCAATATGCTGGCACATGTTTATATCCCCCCTGTGTTTTTAAAAAAAAAAAATTTATATATCTGTTGTAATTTATTGTCTTTTATTGTGATTGCAGTAATGTTTTTTTATGATTGTAGTATTTATTACATGTACAGCACTTTGGCCCGACCAAAAATCGCTTTTAAATGTGCTTTATAAATAAACTTTGATTTGATTTGATTTGATTTGATATCATATTTATTATTTCTATCTTTATTTGACAGATTACTTAAATATATTATGTTTATACATCTTATTTTATCCTTTATTCCACATTTTAATTTCTTTATTATACTCGAATGGAACAACTGTCATTAAAACCAGTGTTCCTGATGCTGATTCATCTACTTATTATGACACAAAACATACAAACATTACACTTTAAATGCAATGTTTGAACAAAGCAGTAAATGCAGCTTAAGGGTAGACACTCAGCTACCCCAGGTTTCTGCAGCATCATCACTTTTCCTGCAGTCACTTGATGCTCAGCTGCCTCATCAAACCTTACATAAGAAGTGGCAGGGGGGTGCTGATCTACAGCACACAATAGCATACAATAATAAAGTAAATGACATGTTTTTAATATACAGCCTTACTATCTTTTTTCATGTCGAAAACAGAAGGAGAACATAAGCTATATTTCATTAAAGCAAAAATAAAATGTTTAATGTCAGGAAGAGTGAATGGCTTGGTTTGCATCAGAGGTTATGTTAAGTAAGAGATAATTTGTCTCATTATTTCTTGACATTTATATACACTGTTGTCCATAAAGTTGGAATCATTTTGTTTTCAGACACATTCCTCTTGTTATTCCTATTTACACACACAATCCTCTTAATGAAAAGAGGTACAACATATTTTATTAAAGGGCCCATGTCATGGCCATTTCCACTGATCATAATTACATTGTTGAGGTATACTAAAATAGATTTATACTGTGCAATTTTCCAAACTCACATTGGTTTCGCATACAGCATCTCTGTCAAGCATGTGTATTCAGCAGTATTCACTTTCTCCACTAAACGACTCGTTGGAGCTCTTGCCCCCCCCCTCCCTGTGAGCCTAGTGTGCTCCGATTGGTCAGCTCGGCCACTCGTTCTGATTAGTCAACCACCAGAGAGGCTGCGCCCATGTCAGTGCTTTTCCCGGCTGCTCTCAGCGTAACATCAGTCTTATCATGGCGTCGGTACAGCGGTATATTTTATATACATATATATTTTTAACTGTTGTTATAGAAGAGTGTGACGGCCCCAGGGCCTTTGTCTTACGATGGGGTGGAGCTGAAGAGGCTAATCAGCACGATCACGGACACCTCCGGACACTACGGCCCCAGTCTCTCTCCAAAGCGGCTGCAGGAAGACTAACTCTGCGATCCTCTCAACCACCTATCTCTGCATTTATCACAATAAATGTGCCGTGGTTTTGTAAACTCGTGTATGTCTCCTTGTCTTTGTGGCCTACGAGCCGCTCATAACAAAGAGTAAGTTATTTTTACCCGTTATAAACTACTACTGTTTGATGAGAAATCAAATCATGGTTTGCTATATATGAATTCAGGGAAGAAAGGATAGGCCTACTAAGTATTTCCATTAAACTTTATTTTTAGAAATGTACAAAATGAACATAAATATACATATATACACGGTATATCATCCATTCCTCCTCCTCTTGCCTGCGCACAGCCGGTGCGGTGCGGTGCCTTTTAGCACCCTCAGTAGAATCCCTTCCCCGTCATGGATTGTCCGCCAGGATCTGGCTGGACGAAATCAAATGCAAATCACAAAATATTAGAGAAACTTAGTTGTTTTAGATTCGTTAGTAGTAGTTGTGTAATGAACAGCTTGCCTGCTAATATGCTAACCTAGCTTTGTTTACCTTGGTAGCTAACACGATATGAACGTTAGCTTGGAGGAAAGGCAACTATAATGCAGTGTAATAAAACTACTATGAACAAAAGCTAGTGGTTCATATTAGGCTAGCAATAACGTGTTATAATTGCAATCGTATACGGGTATTCTGCTACCATACAATGTAACTTGCATGAATACATTGTTTTGCGCTAGCATACAGCTAGCCTCGTTAGCTACATGCAGTATATGTACGGTCACAATGTACGGTAAACCGGAGTATACTGTATGAGTATTCCGTGTGTGTGACTGCAGACATTCTCCTGCCATGACAAACATGTAAGGCCATCTGCTGACATTGTAGTTGATATATTTAAACGCTAGCAACGTAGCATCACAAAAATGTTTTTCTGACCAAAACTAGCTCAAGCTCCGTGTGTTAGATCGCTACGCCAGCTATAATGTAATTACGTTTCGCGACTGACCGGCAAATCACCCGCAGTATACTGTCAATAGGTATTTTGTGTGTGAATGCAGACATTCTCCTGCTATGAGATACATGTATGCAAGGCCATCTGCTGATATTAGAGTTGATATATGGAAACTCTAGCAACTTAGTTAGCACAGTTAGCACTGTGTCAATGGCTTAGCAGTCCAACACAGTTTACACATTTAAACAGTCTTGTTTGATAAATACACAAATAACAATGCAAACTTACAGGTTGTATACCCAGATCTTCCCCTGCTCCAAACGGTCCAAACAAGCTGTGCATATCCGGCCTCAAACTGGGCAATGTTTTGGAAGCTTTCGTCTGTGAAATGCCGGTTCTTCGAACCTCTGGAGGAGGAACACGCCGCTGCTGGTGTGGCCATAGCTCTTCGGGATTGGTCCATTTCGTTCCGGGTACCGCATGACATCAGGCGGTACCCGGAACTAAATGGAAGACTCAAATGGGCAGTGACGTATCTCCAACGAGGCGTTTTGGGGAGGTATTTTCTGTGTTAGAGTTTTACTCGCTACAGGGTGTACTTTGAGGGTTTTGACTCTGCACACCGTTTACATGCATAAAAACCTTCATAACACACAAGGGGACGGGTAATAACCGGAAAAGCATGACATGGGAGCTTTAAAACTTTATGGGCAACAGTGTATATACATATTTTTCTGATTGGTTAGTTTTTCTGCTCATTTTGTTTCTTTCTAAATATATATATAATATAATTGTAGTCTTACTAAATATACTTGGCGCAAATGTTCATTTTAATTTGTATTATAATTGTATCCTATGTCTCTTTTAAACATTTGTAACTTGACACTGCTGCTGGAATAATATAATTTCACAACATTGGATAAATAAAGTATATATCATCTATCTATCTTATTCTTAGTATTGCCTAAATTATGTTTATGCCTGTGGTTTCTTGACCTCTCCTGACTCTTTTATAATTTGTTCACTTTCTGAATTTGATGCAGTCTTATGTGTGTGCAAATAAAAAATAGTGAAAATGTGTCAATTTATCTTAGGTTAACATAATAGTAAAATGTAGTTTTTTTAGACTTCTGCTGGGACAAAATGTACAGACCAAACGATAAAACAATACAACGATAGGTAGTTGAATTGATAATGAAGATAATTGCTGGGTGCAGCCGTAATGAATACACATTCTGTAAAAGATACACATACTTGGGTCATTGTCGATGAGGGGTTCAGTGTCCTCGTCTTCGTCCAAAGGGGCCGTGTTGATGGAGTTGCCATTGGGTAGCGGCATGGCACTCGGGAAATATTAAGTGGGTAAAAGGATGTCTGTGAGCATTGGTGGCCACGCAACCTGCTGAATGGAAGATGTTAGTCGTTTAAAACAACAATGACGCACAACAGGGAAGTGAGAAAAACACGTGACTCAGACGAATCAATACAAGAACACAAGTTAAGTTACACAACACATAAACGCCTCCAGTGTTTCCCCTACCATTGTCTTGGACGCCAACGGAGCCCCGCGCCCCCCCTGAAATTCAAGGTGTCTCGGTTAAGGCAGCAACCCCCCAAAGCAGTAAACCTAGGGGAAACACTGGCCTCACCAAACATGATCTTACCAGAGTTACTGATGCTCGGGATGGATTCACTGCAGAGGGAGAGTGATGATGGAGCTCAGCATGAGTTTGTCTCTTTATTAAACTGGAACCTGTGAACATAAAATAAAAGGTCACCTTACAACAGAATATACTTTGGTTCTTCTATCGTCAAAACATCTCATTTTCAATAGAGTTGCAAAGATTATTCGACTTTATGAATAAATCTATTCATTGCTAAAGTAATTTATTTGCTAAAATTGCAGATAACACTGTTTTAAACCTCTGCAATATGAAAATGTTCTACCTTTTCTCAATTTGATATCATTTTAAAGTGGATACCAAGACATTTAAAGACATCCGAATCAGCCTTTTTCTGTCATTTTATATACAGTACCTATTGATAATCAGTTAATCTAGAAAATAATCACTTTATCGTTTAAATAAATCATTACAATAATATCTACCTGATTTACCTATTGCTTACTATATATAAAATAATTGAATTCAGTCATTCTTTCATTCATTCTTAAAAATAAATGAAAATGCCTGATGTCTGTAGGTTCCTACTTCCTAAATGTCCGGATTGATGCTTTTTACATTTTTTAAGTATGTTTGAATATATTTGGGTTTGGGGATTGTTGGTTGGATTGAAATTGTAATATTAAGTCACTTTTGACTTTATAAGTGATTTTCACAGACATGGTCTAGACAAATCTTAAAAAATTAAAATAATAATAATAATAATAAATAATCAGCACGTTGATCAAGAATAAGACAAATTATTAGTTGCAGGTCTAATAGAGTGAAAGTAATTTAAAAAGTAATAAAATAGCTGCTATAAGTGATATGAGGTAGATTTGTCTAATAAGGTAAACGTTTTTTTAGGGCAGAATGTAATCGCTGAGTCGTTATTGTGAGTTTCACTTCCCACTCAAACTTGCTGCTGTCAAGCTTTAAAAGGCAATGAAGTGTTGACTCATGATGCTGTTATTTAGGAACTGATGATGAAAAAATACTACAGAGCTTGTTAATGCATTTTCTGAAAGATAAAAAAAAGGTTTTTGGGGCTGGAGCTGAGTTACATAGCTCTAATAGGTGAAGATTTCTCAAGAGAGTGGATAAACAGTTATCACATTCAATAACAGGACGGGATCGTCTGAAGCAGCTGATCTGAGGCCTGGGGGGTATACTACGAATCTAGTTCAACATATCCTGGATATGTTTTGAGTTATCCGGCTGACTAAATCCAAAAAAAAAACGCTCTCGCTAAACGGTACTACGACGCTGGCTATCAACTCGATCGCTCAAGCCAGCCGTGTCCTATCTAGGTGTGCGTTCACATGAAAGGGGTGGTATTTGGAGTGTTCGACCAATCACAAACATGGAGAAGCCGTGTACTGACAGCGCAGCGCGTCATATATTTCCTGAATGAAAAGTCAACTAATATTAGACAAATATGAAGACGTTAAACTTTAAACATCCATGACTTAAACACTTTATCCAGGATGAAAGCCACATAGTTGCAGCTGCAAGGTGAATAGGCTACAGCTGGTAAAAGAAAAAGTGTTTGAATGCGTACATTAACAGGTTTATGATATCACTGCTGCCCCGTCTAAGACACGAGTGGATCTGACTTTAATTACATTTGACTCGAGTGTTTCGTCAACTTAATGTGTTGCTTAAAATAATACTTCTGCATACAGTATGTGACACTGTGAGTGTTGCACGGCCAGATACGGCTCAAGAAGCTGACTCAGATAAGGAAATGTATGATACATTATGATGTGATATGTGGGACACATCGCCGTCTGCACTCACAGTGCCGCGGACTGTATTTAATGTTACTCTGATCCGGTTACTTATGTTGTGGCAGATATTTAAGTAAGCTTTCTTAACGCTAATGTTATAATAGTCAGATTGCTCTGAAGATGGGAGGGGATATTCTATTAATTTTCACGCTCACACAGTCGGTGATTTTGGCCGGCCGTCTTTCCTGCAACGGCAGTTTAAACTGTATTTCCTTTCTCCTCCTGTCATATGAATTGATCGCTTTAAACTCCGCACACTGAGCTCTGATTGGTCAGCAGGCAGTGCTTTTATCCTGGAACCTATCCTGCTCCGGAGGCTAGCCGTTCAGAATAAGTTATCTAGCCCGCTAAAAAGTGAACCAGCTTCGTAGGACCGGAAACCCCTGAAGTTAGCTTGCGAAACGAAAATCTTGATTCGTAGTATACCCCCCTGCTCCGGAGCAGGTTAGGTGGCAGGCTAAGAGATCAACTCAGTGAAAGCACCGCCTGCTGACCAATCAGAGCTCCATGTGCGGAGTTTAAAGCGATCAATTCATATGACAGGATAGAGGAAATACAGAAAAACTGCCGTTGCAGGAAAGACGGCCGGCCAAAATCAACTGACTGTGTGAACGTGAAAATTAATAGAATATCTTCAGAGCAATCTGACTATTATAATATTAGCGTTAAGAAAGCTTACTTAAATATCTGCCACGACATAAGTAACCGGATCAGAGTAACATTAAGTACAGTCCGCGGCACTGTGAGTGCAGACGTCGATGTGTCCCATTATCATTCATATCATATCACATCATAATGTATCATATATTTCCTTATCTGAGTCAGCTTCTTGAGCCGTATCTGGCCGTGCAACACTCACAGTGTCACATACTGTATGCAGAAGTATTATTTTAAGCAACACATTAAGTTGACGAAACACTCGAGTCAAATTCTCCTAATTAAAGTCAGATCCACTCGTGTCTTGGACGGGGCAGTGATTTCATAAACCTGTTAATGTACGCATTCAAACACTTTTTCTTTTACCAGCTGTATTCACCTTGCAGGTGCAGCTATGTGGCTTTTATCCTGGATAAAGTGTTTAAGTCATGGATGTTTAAAGTTTAACTTCTTCATATTTGACTAATATTAAAGTTCACTTTTCATTCAGGAAGTATGACGCTGCGCTGTCAGTACGCTTGTCCGTGTTTGTGATTGGTCGAATGCTCCAAATACCACCCCTTTCATGTGAACGCTCACCTAACTAGATAGGACACGGCTGGCTTGAGCGATCCACTTGATAACCAGCGTCGTAGTACAGTTTAGCCAGAGCGCGTATGTTTTGGATTGGGCCAACCGGCTAACTCAAACATATCCAGGTTAGGTTGAACCAGCTTCGTAGTACAGGCCTCTGAGGTCATCACAACAATAAACACTGAGATTGATGCTGTATAAACATTATAACTACAGTTTAATCTCAATGAATTTCCCATTCCGAATCACTGCTTAACGTCTGATCTGAGAGATGTGTCAACTACCTACAACTGCTTAGGTAAACACTGGAGACATACACCAAGTATCATCACTAATTTAGCCTCAAACATACTAATCACAATTTCTTAGTAAGTAATTTCTTCAAATTGCACTCCAACATTTAAATATATCCACTTAAACATCACATATGACTTGAACAATCATTTGATTATGCAGATGATGCAATTTCATTTCTGACTTTCAAAGTTGTTTTCTCATTTGTCTTACTTTTTTTTAAACAGTTGGACCCAATTACAGTAAATGCCAATGTGTGTACAAGAAGAAAGGAGTCAAACTGGAAAAACTGTCTGTGTGGGAAGACAGGTTGCACAACATCTATAATGTTCAGGGTTTGCTTTGATCGGGATTCCAAAAACATGTCCCGAGACATACTTTGAATTGCTCTCACAATAGTATGCAACTCTGGAGTTTAACTACTGGAAATCTGCTGGAGATGCATATCTCTGTATTAGGATTCGTCCTGATTTATCCCTGAAGAATATACTGTTTATCAGATTTACTATCATTGATTTTAAGATGTCACTACCCCTTATAAAGCACAGTGGAAACCCTTATATTAACACTGTTATCAATTCTACTTTCAAGACACACTTTCATAGATTTTTTTCTCCCATTTCTTTATTATGTTATCCTTTAATTTCAATGGATGTTTTTGCTGGACTGTTTCATTTTTGTTGTTGTATTTTATGTGTATTTGAGGGCAATTTGTAAAAAAAGAATTCAAAATGTTTGATACAAAAAAGTTTATTTGTATTATAAAATGTTAGTATTTACTCTGCCAAAAAATAATTAAAAAATATATCAGCAACAAGTTGTAGCAATGTTGTATGCATATTTGACCATGTGACCCATGGCTGTGATTGTGCAGCTATGTTTGTGTGATCGCTTATGAGATCCTGAGATAAACAGCCCAACTATCTGAAACAATGATTGTATTATGCAAAATAAACTGTCTTTGTTCTTTTTTGGCATGCTTTTGAGGTTTTTATCTTTGTCTGGACCCCAGGAAGCTGATGCTCTTAGTCAGGTAATGAAAATCAAAAAAATCCTAATGTCTGTTTTGTGCCAAGTATCAGACATACACAGATACACAGAAACTCATGTTACACAGGTCAATGAGTATTAACCTTTATATATACAGTCTATGGTATTAACACAAGACCACATCCCTGAACATGCTAGGTAAGTGTTGACTACAGCATAGCTTGTTACCTAGTTATAACTGATGTTTACTACTTTTATTACAATTACTATTTCGTGAAATACATCTTACCTTGTGAGGGTTTTCAAAGCATTGACAATCGATTAAGGCAGCCTGAACGTTACAGAAAATAAAACATACAATGTATCATGTCCATTTTGCCATCATCTCAGCCGGCGAAACTGAACCGTGTTGCTGTTTTTCCCCACTGGCAGAGAAAAACAGTCACATGATGAGGCAGCCCAGATCTATAAAACAATGGACTGGCTAGCTACACCTGCTTTATAGCCCTTATGATCTATAGATCTGTTGTACGGATGTGACGTAAGGGCACATGACGAACAGCTTGCACGCCCTCTCTTGCTCGAGCTTCCTTAGCTTGTACAATTAATACAAAACGAAAAACATAAATATGTAAACGTATTTTAACAGGTGGACAGTTTAATTTATTCCAACAAAAAGTTTATCTACAAAACAGGTCAATGAAAAATGTGTTTTTGGCAGCCGTTTTAATGTGTTGTTATGGCAACGAACCCACCTCATGTATGTTGTAAACTCACAAACATACAGCAGCATAGAGTTATACACCTGTCGCCCATTTTTAGACATCTGTAAAAACACAGCTATCCTCGCACCCATGGCCCACTACAGAGTAAGCATCCGGTTTCTTTCTATAGCTGGTATTTGTTTCTGCTCGCTAAATAAATGCTGTAGTTGCTCGTGTGAAGAGTGTGCTAACTAGCTAGCATGGTGAAGCAGTTAACTGCCCTCAACCGGAGTCTGAAAATTATTTATCCACAATTGTTTTCTTAATGGATAAACCAGTCAGACGTGTGCTGTTAACCTTCAGTGAGTCAAAGAGTTTGTGATAGTCAAATATTAATCTTGTGTTTCAGGCCCCGGAATCGAAGAGAGAACAGTTTAGAAGATATCTTGAAAAATCCGGTGTCCTTGACAGTATAACAAGCGGTGGGTATAAAAGCTATTCAGATCCAGTGTTGTAGCATTTAGGGGACAAAGGAATGGTTATAAAACCTTTGACCAAAAGGGTCCATTCTGCATGGGGAAATGTCAAAGCTGTGTGAAAAAAGGTGCCTATTTACCACCAAAACACTGCTTTTCAGCTGTGAAAGTGATGTTTAAGACCACATTTATATTTAAACTAAGTGCTGATATAGATGGATTTTAAATTATGAAAATCATATTAGATTAGAATGTATTGTAGGTAAACAGTTAGATTAACATACGCTATAGGGTATATAGACATAAAGTAGGCCTATACTTTATTATTCTAACGTTTTTTTAAATGTCAGCACCAGGTTTATTTGTTAAGGGCAAATACAAACAGAGCTCTTCGTTTAGGACTCAGTTCTACAAAAAAAGTTTCAGAAACAGCTCAATAATGTGGATGTGGAAGTCATTCTTAACCTGTTAAGCACCAAGCCTGTTTTTCATGTTTCAGGCTCGAAAATGACATGCCCAAAACAAATGACTACAACTTAACTTCTAAAAGGGTTATATGAATAATTTATTTTATCAAAGCAAGGTTACATCTGTGAGTTGGATGTAGAAGTGTCAGAATCAATATAAATGTTTTTTATTTTAAAGAAAATTCAGATTTTACATAGTAAAAAACTGTAAATTATAGTGTCCGTCCAAAAATTATTTTTTACAGATAGTGAAAACTACCCTTGGATGATGGGTTAGTAGACTAAAAGGAAGGCAAAAGTGAGGAGTGAATATATTGTATTCTTGGGGAATTTGTGGTGTGGTCTCATCACTTTTCTTTATTCTTAATCCTTAATTTGAAAGTTTACCCCTGTAATGGGGCGGGTTACAACAATGGCACACTTTAGTCATTATTTGATTGATTTGGTAAGACAGGTAACATTGCTAATTGTAGCTCCTACACAAGAAATCCTGAAGTAAGGCACTGAACCAAGAAGTGTTTACAACCATCCACTGTCTCCTGTACATTTGCAATCAGTGCATGTTGGTGAGCCTATCCATTAAGTGACATGATATCTCTGTTGTGCTGCTTCATCACTGTTTTCTTTCTCTTTTTGCAGTATTAGTGGCACTTTATGAAGAGGCCGACAAACCTGACAATGCACTGGAGTATCCTTTTCTCATGTGTGCAGCTTTACAGAGCCATTGGGGTTTACAAGCCTAATTTACACTAGCAGCAACCCTCAGACGCGCGTGCACACACCCATTCACACTGTACCTCACAATCACTTGTCCCCCGTGCCAAATTCCAGCCTCCTAGGACGAAAACTGTGGTTCCAAAGGAAGCTGTAAAGCTACTAATCACAACTTAAAAACAAGTGTTGGTGTATCAAAATTGATTACCCTGCCCAACCCCAATACAAAAAGGGATACAGTGTGTTTTATAAGAAAATAATGTTAAGAGAAACATAGCATTTCAGTCTCTTCACCTATGGACGTGGTACATTGAACACAAATGTATTGAATAAGAATACCCAGTCTATAATTCATGTAAAGCTGAGATATTTGGTCCCTATTGTACTTGAGCCTACATGGCAACACAAATGACTGACTTAAAACACTATCTTTGCGTTCACAAGCCACATTTTCTCCATTCTGTAAATGCAATGGGAAATCTTCTTGAGAGCATACATTTCCTAACAAGACATTTTTTATGACACGTCACTCAATGATTAAACATCAATTTAATTCCAGGAAAAGTTTACAGTGTGCTTAGAGATTTTTTGACACAAGCCTGGTCTAAGGTGTTAGGCTGACTGGACAATTGCTGTGGAAGATATCAGCCAGTCGTTATAAAGCCCAGTATTTCCCCTGTTTAAAATGTCAAAACAGCTAGAGAGATAAACAGCCATTCAGCTGGTTTTAGAAATCTCTAATTTAGGCGGCCTTTTGTCAGATAATTTTTTGCTCCTTCTTCTCATCTGGATAAACAATTGTGTCTTTGGGAATCAGATAAACATTGATTTTCTTTATGTATAGAAAACCAAAGTGTGAAACCACTGCTAGATAATTGAACCCAGCAAGACTGCAGTTTAGCACCATGCTTTAGGTTAATGTACCTTAGTTAATAGTTGCGGTGATTCCTGCAGAAATCATACTTTTTCTTCACATAATGGCTTTACAGAGAGCGCACGTTGACCTTAACCAGCTGCACAGCTTCATAAAGCTTCACCTCGGAGCGGCCAGTCCAGAGCCGGCCGATGTTGAGACTCTTCGCATGGAGCTGGCTGACCTACAACAGAAATGCAACCTTCTCATGGGGGAGAATAAAGAGCTGAAAAACAGGGTGAGATGCAAGTCTAAATAAAAAAATAACCAGAGCTGCTTGTGCCTTAGTGTACTCTAACCCCTGCCTTAATCTCATTTCCAGCTGATGCAATACGAACCATCGCCAGAAGAGAGAGCAGCAGAGTAGCTGGAGGGGCTTTGTCATGTACAAAATAGAAGAAAACGTTAAGCATTCTTTTGGAAGAATGTGTAAATGTTTATTAAATAATAATGGATGAACCATGAATATAACATCACTGCTGTTGTTTGTCATATAACAAGAAGCAACTTATCCTATGTCATAAATAAAAATGTTTCTTTTACAGAATATGATATCAGCCATTCCCTTGAATTCATACAGTATCTCTATTTACAACCAAAGGATTCTGCTTACATCACACATCCATTCATCTGAAATAAATACATAATAAAAAAGACAATACTCTTTTGGAAGGTCATTTCATTTTTTTTAAATATGTTGATATTAGAATGCTTTGCTAAGAAAAAAGGGGTCATACAAAATATATAACTTAGAGGTCGCAGTTTATGTGTGAAGGGAAATTAAAGTCTGATAAATGATGCATTTTTTATCATTGTCACTACAAATATATTTAGCACTTCATTGTGACATTGTGTTGAACGTTCCTTCTGCCTGAGTTTAATTCAATCAGACAGCATCAACGATTTTAAAAGTATCCCGTTGTGTAACGGCACATTGTGACCTGAAACAACTTATAGATTTGTGCTTCAGTTTTCCACTGCCCTCTAATCATTCAGACAGAGCTGCTGCGTACAATCAAATCATTAAATGTCCATTTAATATCTCTGTAACAGACGTGTTGAAGTAACAAAACAAAACATTCCATTGTAATCTGACCCAAAATGTAAAGGCTTTTCATTGGTCTAATAACTGCAATGTCCTAAATGGGCAACAAAGGCTTTTTTTCCGCTTGTTAAATGTCTCTCAGGGGTATAATACATAACATTCCCAAATTAAAATATTTAGTTGTGTACTTAAGTTATCACAAATGCTTCCAAAAAATGTTGAAACCTTGAGAAATCGTTTTTTTTCAAGGTAACGGTCTGTTTGCCGCATCTGTAATGGCGTCGTAATCCGATTTTTGCATGCGTCATTGTTTTTTTCAGAAGCTGTCATAAATATACTTTTTATCCAGTTGAAGCATAATTTTTACAATAGACTTTGTAGATCTGCTCCTTTCAACTCTGTATTTGAATTGGATAAAGGATTTTAGTCAGTGGACGTCTTAAGTCAAACAAACTGAGCTAATGTTAGCCAATACGTTCATCAAACCTGACTGTAGAAACGACAAACACAGATTCAATGTAAGACTGCTTTATTAAGTCTTTTCATTGGTTTTTCTCAGTGGGTCCGTTTATTTTGAACAATAGGAAAGCTCTGCGGATAATTCGGCTTCCAGTGAACCCCTCCTGAACGATGAAAAAAAGCAGAATCCTGTCCGTGAGGAGCTGACTGCAATCACTGTAATGTTGGCAACTCCAAGGATCCATCGATACTTCACAACCAAATTCGTCACATTTTTTATCGAGAGATATCTAGTGGCAAAAAATGACATCTTGTGCGTTTTTGTGTGAAGTGCAGGAATATAGCGTTCCAACAACTTGCATCCACATATGGCTTATTGAGAGTTTGTGTCGCCATGTCGGAGCAAACGGTTTATATTTGCAGATCAGTTGGAGCTCTTCTGCTGCTGCCGCTGCTGGCCGCTGACACTCTGCGGTTTGGAGAGGAGGCGGGGGGGCTGTTACTCTCCCTGCTGTGTCGGGACACTGAGCTCAGCTCCCCCGCAGAGTCCGGGCTCTGAGACCTGCTCGGCCTCTTAATGTCTGATTTAGAGAGGATCCTGGCTCGGGGTCCCACGCAGCTGCTGCGGAGCTTCACGCTGCTGTTGTTCCCGTGGTAGGAGTCACTGTCCGAGCCGTTCCCCTCCACCAGAGTGGAGCAGTTCCACGGTGGACTGACCCTCCGAGACTTCCTCACAATGCCTGACAGCGCTGCGCAGGACGAGGGGTCCGCTACGGGGAGGGTGGGGTACTCAGAGGCGGCACACTCCATGTCCCCGTGGTTGGGTTCCTCTGGCTCTTCCTGTTTGTCTGCAGGAGGGGAACGCGTCTCGCTGCTCGTGTTGTTGGAGTTGCTGTTTTGCTCCGTGGGGCTCGGCACCCCCTCCTTGCCGTCCTTGTGGCCGTCCGGCTTTGCAACCGGGTCCCCTTTTATTGGGACGAAGGCCGAGGAGGCGTTCAGAAGAGGGTAGGTGGGTCCGTTGCCCTGCTTCTCCAACAGCAACGTGTACCCGCATGGTGCCGTGGGGATGGTACTCTTGCGACCCGCAGATGTGCCAATGCAAACCTGATGCACGACTGAGTTCTTCTTTGACTTGTCGACGTAATAATCGTCCATGTCGTCTTTCAGATGAGGGTAGTAGGACAGGATGCCCTTCTTGAGCTTCTTGAATCCCAGGTGCATGATCTCCAGAATGCTGAGGAAGAGGGAGATGCAGGCGATGCCCTGCATGAAGATCATGAACACAGTTTTCTCGGTGGGCCTGGACACGAAGCAGTCCACCACATTCGGGCATGGCTCCCTCTCACACTTGAACAGAGGCTTCAGGCGGTTTCCGTACAGAAAGTACTGCACCACCATGAAGCTGACCTCCACCACGGAGCGGGTCATAATGTGGACCAGGTAGGTGCACAGCAGAGAGCCTCTCAGCGGAGCTTTGTTGAGCTTCCCCTGCTCCAGCTGCTTCATCTCCTTCTCCATCCTCCTCCGCACCTCCACCAGCTCCACGTCCACCGCCTCCAGCTCCCGGCGGAGAGCCACCTTCTTGCAATGGCGCTCCTTCTCCAGAGCCCGCAGCTGGTAGATGGCGTGGCCCATGTACACCAGGGAGGGGGAAGACACAAAGATGACCTGCAGCACCCAGTAGCGGATGAGGGAAATGGGGAAGGCCTGGTCGTAGCAGACGTTTCGACAGCCAGGTTGGTCCGTGTTGCAGATGAAGTCCGACTGCTCGTCGTTCCACACGTCCTCCGCTGCCACGCCCAGCACCAACATCCGGAATATGAAGAGGATGGTCAGCCAGATCTTGCCGACCATGGTGGAGTGGATGTGCACCTCCTCCAAAATCCCCCCGAGGAAGTTCCAGTCTCCCATTTTTTATATTAGCAGTTCTGTAAAAAAACAAACAAGGTAAAGCCTAATAGATAATGGATTTTTGGGGGAGATTATGGCATGGCTAACTGGGTTTTTTTTTAAATCAGAAAGTGATAATCTTTTTGTAGTGACACATCATAGGCCAACTATCTTGAAGCCAAACCCTAGATTTGTGGTTTATATAACAAACTAACACACTTTGTTAAAGAGTGTAGAAGGTATAAAATTGTGTAATTTAGTATTGTGTGAATAATGGGAATAATTGACTTCATTAAGGTGAATCATTAGGTTTATAGTCCAACCATTACTTCAATGTTGGGGCCAATACCAATGTTGATATTTGGGTGTTAAAAAGTCTGATTGCTCTATAAATAACAATATATTTTATTTTTTTTACGAATTTTGATCAATATACTACGATGGCCAAGGTTGGATCTACTCTATCATACATCTTCAAATATAATCTAATAAAATATAAAAGATTGTATCTTCTGGAAAAATCTCAGGGATTAGAAAGTTCTTTTTGATGGATATTTCCAAAAATGAACCTGCTATGTCCTAATATGCCCCTTTTTTCACCAACCAACATTTAATCAACATTTAACAGCATCAAAGATATTAGAATAGTATTAATTCCCTTACCTATCATCTTGGATATGAAATGCAACAACGAAGGCCTTAATGCTGCTGAACACAATCCTACGAGTACATCTTCTATCTTCTGCATCCTCTTCTAAACAAAGGACAAACTGGCAAACAGCCTCCACTGGACAAAAGCAAATGATCCCTGGCCAACTTATAGCCTGTCAGAGACAATTCAATCGATACTGTTGTGATGCTCTGTTGCCATTTCCCTCGCAGCAGAATGAATGGAGTGACTGCCCGTTCCTGGGACTCATTAAGGGTGAGCTGAAGGGGTTTGTGTCTTCTGGCTGAACCTAAAGGACCCTGAACTTGTTGGAATGCAGATAGGACAGAACAGGATGCACAGGGATGGGAATCTTCATCTGAGAGCCTTAAAGGTGGATTCTAAAATACAGGAGAGGCTTTAGAAGCGTTATATTGAAATATTGGTTATATATCCCGTACTTATTACAAAGGAAGAAATGTTGCACTAGAGCCACAGCAATGAGCAGTGAAGCTGAAGTTCACATCCAGCTCACAGGTCTGTTACTGCAGTGTTGGATAATGTGGGTGGTTTGACCTGGCTCACAATTTATTATTGTTTAATAGGTCAAAGTAGATGTCCTTCTTGATGGCTTTTCTTTCCAATATAATTAAACTAAATCAGTAATCATGACCTGATAATTTAAGATTATCCACAGATTTTGATGCGAGCAGAAAATAAGTTGAACTATTCCGATCCCAGGTCCTGCAATCAACATGTTGATTTCTCCGATTGGCCAACAGTGTGTGAATGTTAGTTTCTCTGAGCAGGTGGAACTTTGTATCCAGTCACTGCCTCTGTATGAATGGGTTGTGATGAATGAGGAAATGAGGACTTGTAGAATGTAAAGGCGCTTTGAGGGGTCGTTAAGACTGGATAAAGCACTATATAAATGCAGTCCATTTAGCTAAGGGCTCCTTTACTGCAGCTCATCTGAGATAAAGCTCAGCAGAGGACGCCATTCATGTTTACATCAGACTGATATCTCCAACACTCTCGGATAAAAAATTAACCAATTTAGGTTAAGAAACAGCACTACAGGAAGGACATTTTAAAAAACGTTTTGATTGTGGGGGGAATTGTCCCTTTAAGATGACACTTATGTTTAAAGAATGACTTACATTTGTAAATAATCAGAATTATTACAGACATATTTACAGTCAATTGACTAATTGATTCAGGCTCGTCCCACTGTGCGTTTGCTCTTTGACACAGAACGGCGGATGGGAAATCCACAGATGTTCAACAACACAAGAATACAGATTGGCCTTCTTTTTGTATAACTATAGTTTAGAACTTAACTCTGTTATTGTTCAGCCTCCATTTGTACGTCTTCTTATCTGTCAGATATAACTACAGTATAAATAAAGTATTATCTTGCTTCCGTTTGTCCTGTATTTGTAAGCTACCCTTTGCTTTAAAGCAGCTATTCCTGACAGACTCCCATCAAGCCTCCATGCTGCGTTTGTACTTGTTTAATCAATGTTCCTTTTTTCAATGCAGGGATCAATGAGACACGTCCGATTTCATACATGGTTGCCTCGTCACTGTGAATCTAATTTAAGCTGTTTTTCCCAGCCACTGGTCCATTAAAAGGAAATCAATATCCATGGCTGGACTGGTTGTTTTCCATGCAGACGCCCGAAAACTGTAGTTCAAACTTATTCTCATACAACCAAAAACAAGTACTGCACATCAGGCTGTTAGAGAGGAGGGGAAACTGTGGGCAAAAATGTATCTCAAAACACTTAAATTGCACTTTCTGTTCCCTTTGTCGAACCCAACAAACTTTTTGGTTTAAAGCTCACCTATTATGCTATATTTGAACAATATATTATTGGGCCGGCAGTGGCTCAGTCAGTAGGGGCTTGGACTGTGAGCCGTAGGGTCCACGACCAGACCTAAATATGGAGTGTGGACTGCTACTTGGAGAGGTCCAAGTTCACCTCCTGCCCTGCCGTGGTGCCCTTGAGCAAGGCACCGGACAACCCCCCCACCCCCCGGGCTCTGTGCAATAGCTGCCCACTGCTCCTAGTACTAGGATGGGTTAAATGCAGAGGCCAAATTTCACTGTGTGTGCTGTGTGCTCTGCCTGTGTGACCATTAAAGAGGGTTTCATCCCTCCCAATATTATTATTATTATTATTATTATTATATCTATACAAAACATGTCTATGAAGTGTTTTGCTCAAAATACCAAACAGATCACTCACCCATTGTAGAATGGCCGCTATTTCAGCCCTGTTACTAAAGTGCTGATTCTGGGCCCGTAGCTTTAAATGTTGCTGGCCACGCCCCCTTTGGAGCTGCTGCTGGCCACGCCCCTTTGGAGTGCCCGGAAGCAAGCCGTGAGCTCTGTGAAGAGAAGGCTGTCTACCAGCAGAAACTCAGCTAAATGCTGCCGTGATTAAACGCCATAGTATGTTCCAAACCACATCAAGGATTATTTCTGAAACAGTATGGAGCTCAAATGCTTTTTCTCTTGCGGTTTTACCACAAGGACAGTACCTTTTACATCCAGCTTCTTTACACATATTCTCTCCATTACATTGTTTCTCATACAGCAACGTTTCTGATAGGTTGGGCCGTGGGCGGAACTTTGCCAGGAGTTCATTGTAAAGCCAGCCCACATGTTAATAATGTCGTTATGACCGCACAAAATCTGGATCAGCTCCGTTGTACCCCTATTTAAAGAGATGTGGGTACGGAGGAAAAGAGAGAGGTTTATATTTACAGGTTTAGGTTTACACTTTGTGAGTCTCCTGACACACATGTATGTATAAAAGACATCAAAAAGTGCATTTTGCATAATAGGTGACCTTTAATACCTGTAGTAAGAGTTGGGGTTAACACAAGCTTAAGAGATGTTCAAGTTTTGTTCACTGACTTAAAAATGTAAGTGAATTCCCCACTCCTGATATAACCATTTTCTTAAAAAGGGTGGTTGCTATACAGTAGCTAAATGAGACCGCATTTTTGTTATAAGTTAATTGGACATTTTGTTTTATCTTATTCTATTTTATGCATTTATTTTTGTATTTGTCCCTGCAACTTTCTAGCACCATTATGTCAATAGCATTATAATGTTTTTCTTAAAACCATTTGAATATTATATTTTGCACTGTTGGAGGAGCCTGGGGTTTGAGTTGTATTGCCAAAATAAAAATCCGGGTTAAGACAAGTGGAGGTGAAGTCATGTGTTCATGGTTTAGGTTGTATATGGTTGTCTTCACCTTCTAGTGATTGCATTTAAGATACAAAGTGTTTTTCATAAGTGTATATTTTAGGATTATCTTGATGGGGAAAAAAGTGTCAGCAAAATAAACTTTTGTTTGCCACAACACTTTGCTTTTTGGTTGAGGGAGCCAGTGCTAAATTCCAGCACTTTTCTATCATCTCGTTTTATTTTGTTTTCCTAAATAAAGTAGGGCTTGGCATTATAATATTAAACTCACAGTAAACCAATTTGTCTGTACAAGCAGAGTTTACAAACTGAAGTCAGGCACGGATTCCTTATTCTGAACGTTATCCATTTATTACTGAAAATAACAGTTTCTTCATCATAAAGGTAGAAGATTAGGAGATTAAACATGCAGTGACGGGATTAAATGAAAAACCATCAACACGGCCGAGTAAACACCAAGAGAAAACTTTTGTTCCAAAAATAAAATACCTTTTGAAAACCGTACAGAAAACACACAACATTTAAACAGATTAATGTACATTTTAAACAGCTTGTGGTTAACGTCAATGGTCGATAACATCTTAACACTTTAGGACCATAGAAGCGAATCTGTGTATTTTACCCGCAGTACTTTCATACTACTGCTCAGTTCAGCAGTCAAGTTTAAAGTAAATGATTTGCGTTAAGACACACAGAAACGATGGTTTGGTTCGTCACCAGATTCAATTTTAAATACTGAATGTTATTTTTTGAAAAAATGGATGCATAGGGATTAGAAAACAAAATTATCAGTAACAGTATATAAAAAAGATAATTATTCCTGGGCGACTAGCACTGAAACCTGTTTCATATTTATATGGGGGGGAATCTCACCAATACAATTTTATAAAACCAAGCGAAGGACCGACATTTTTCTTAAAACGGAGCTGCGAAAACAAGCTTTCTACAAATGGTTCAGCGGACGTTACATTCATGTCAAAACAAACATTTGTCAAATGAACCAACTCGGGTGCATCTGACATAACGGCGGATAAAGAGGGGGGGGGGGGGGTACTTTCCTAGCGTCCTCCTGACTTACGTCCGGCCCAGGATCGGGACCGGGAACGAGAGCGTGATCTTGAAGCTGAGCGGGACTTGGAGCGGGTTGGGGAGTGGGCCCGTCGCACTTCTTCCTCGGGGTAATGGGAAGACGATGAAGGGTTGGCGTT